AAGTGCTGAAACACTCATTATTAATCACAGCTTAAGTTTTAGGGCGCCTGGGTGACTCAGTTGCTTAAGCATCTACCTTTGGCTCAGGTCGTGATCCTGAGGTCCTAAGACAGAGCCTTCCCCCCTCCATCAGGCTCCCTGCTGAGCAGGGAGCTTGCTTCTCCCTCTTCCTCTGCCCCTCCCCCTGCTCGTGCTGTCTCTTGCTCTCTATCTCAAATAAATAAAATCTTAAAAAGATATATTTGTACTATTCAGAGTATATACCTCTACAGATTATGACATGGCATACTCATAAAATCTGCTCATCTGTTACAGAATACTGGTGTATGACTGATGATTCATAATTATCTACTTCCTAGTTTTCTCTGTAAAATAAAGCTGGCGAATGGCTAAAAGTTATAATCAGTATATGAAAATAAAACAACTACTACAAACAATAAGGCGAAGCGAAACACCTTTGCATACAAAGAATTTGAGGAAAATAGCATGTGTTTCACATGAAAAGTATGCAAAGAATGTAGGATTTGTTTTTGTTAAGGAAAGAAGGATAGTAATGTTATCCTAGGGTTACATTTTCAAAAAGGGAAAGTATAGGACAAGAACCTGAATGGATATAGGAAGTTGTAGGTCAAAGCTGGCTAAGATTAAATGGATTTATATATAAAGTTTTTGAAATGAGCTTTACTATCAATAACATACTAATGTAAAACTAGAGTTTGGTTTTCTCTCTGCTAAAGCAACAAAACGTCTTGGATTACTGGTCTGCTTTTAACAAGAGATTATGAAAGGTTTTTCTTTACCCTCTGAGTAATGTTAACAACCTTTCCCTTTTGTGGAAACAAAGATTCTCTCCTATCAAAATAATTTCCTGTGTTTCATGTCGTCATTACCATGTCCTTGTTTACATAAGATAATCTAGTCTTCTCACTGGCAAAAGAGCCAGGTTGTTGTTTTTTTTTAAACAATCATGTTATCTCCTATGTTTACTTATGAATTCTTTTATTGTCACTTAGGTCAGGTAAATCACCAAAAAATTGTTTCACAGTGACCTGGGATCCTATTTAGCCAAGCATTCACACCTTTCGATATTTTTGACAACTCTGCCTTCCCCAAATCAAATCCTAAATGAAGTTATTTTCTTGATTTCAAACTGGCTTTGGGATTTCCCAGAGGGCCTCTGGAAGATCTCAAAGGGTTTGTTTTTTCACCTCATAAAAGAGATGAGTTAAACAATACTGTTTTAATCAACACGCTGGATTTCATGAAAGTCATTGTCAAATTAAGACATGCTGCTTAACCTTCCAAAAGTTATATTTGTGAGTTGATGTTATTAATATCAGGATGTCAGAATTTACATAAAGTTCCTGTAAATTTGTGAGTGCCCTCACTGACCATGCAATATTCTGGTATATTGTTATCAGTCATCATTCCAGTTAATACTTTAAATGGTGTGTATGTTACAGAAACTATCAAGTTTCCTTGTCAATTGTGTTATTTTTATAAGGGACTCCCACCAAATCTTTAACTCCTGGCCATTTTCAGTCTTTGTTACCCACAGATAGTTTTTGTTTTGCTCTGATTCTTCTTCAAAAGCATTTGCAATCAGCTACAGGCCAGAGTGCTTCGTCTTCAACAGAAAGAGACTATCTCCAAGACCCGTGGAAAGGACTATGACAGGTACCTGGGGTACAGACTTCCAACGGCCTTGCTTCAATAACTCTTGAGATCATCTCATGGGACTGAGTAAGGTGCCTCAGAACTCTAGTGGAGAAAACTATGGGCTTGTCAAAACTAGAGAAGAATTAACTAAACAGAATTGGATGAACTGATAAAAGATGATTATAATTTTATATGGCTTTTGTCTGGAATATTCTTGGCTCGTTAGTGTTTTATTTTCTGGATATAAAAAAGCACCCTTTCTTTTTTTCTCTTAAGCTATCTGTGAGTCATTCCACTCTAGCAAGTTATACTTTTGTAAACAAAACTGAAGCATTTATCTTCTCCCTGCTTGATTCCTCCAAAAATTGGAAACTATTGTTGAGTATTCTTATTTTCATGGCAATATAGTTTTTTGCATAGGTTCAATAAGAATCTGTCCTCTTTGCAATAGGACATAATTTTAAAGCATTGGTTATATAACCAAGGAATGTCATATTTGAAAATGATGCATGGTATCAGACATGACCAGGTTTTGAGGAACTGCAGTCGACTTTACAAGGAGCAATGCTTACAAAGTCCTCTCGAAAAAAACCAGCCTGGTACTTGGCTTACAGAGATTCCCAGCCTTACAGGTGAGTAAGGAAGGTCACTTCCTGGCAGATCCAGGAACCCTAAGATATTTGGGGGACCTTGAGAAGAGTGGAATTCACCCGAATCTACAGGTGAAGTCTGATGGTAAGTTCTTGCTTTGGCTTCCTAGCCTTGAAAAGGCTTTTAAAATTCCAATCTGAGATTCCCCATAAAAAGTTCCACAAAGCAAACTTAACAAGGTCTATGTGGTCAACTGCCATTTTTGCTGCACTTGTGTAAATAATCAGGCCAAATTTAATGAGACCAGAATTATTTTGTACACAAGAATAATCTTCCTTTGACTGTCTTTTTTTAAAAAAAGATTTACTATTTATTTGAAAGAGAAAGTGTGCGAGCACACACAAGGGGGGGCTTGGAGGCAGAGGAGGGGGCGGGAGAGAGAGAGAAGTAGACTCCCCGCTGAGCATGGAGCCCGACACCGGGCTGGATCCCACACCCTGGAGATCACGACCTGGGACGAAATCAAGAGTCGGACACTTAACTGAGCCATCCAGACGCCCCTTCCTTTGATTATCTTTGATCAAAAAGGGAGATGGCTCTAGAGGGAAATGTTATGTCTCAATGGGGAAAAATAATACACCCTTGTGGGTTATCAGATTCTAACTCTGTTTATAGTGTTCGAGGTTTTACTATTACTACCTGTGACTGGTACTGCCATCCTGCCATCTTACACGTTTTGTCAGCCCTTACCAAACCCTCAGTTCTAGTTTCCTTCAGTATCCGGCTACAACTCTCCAAAATGATGTTTCCAATTTTTCCTCCTTCCCTCCTCACTTGGCATCACTGAGAATGAAAATCTGACTACCCAGACCCTTCCTGGGACTCCAGTTATCTTGTTGCTGCCCCTTTTCCTCCAGGATCTGAAAAAGCCCTGCATGAACTTGATAAAATCTTCAAGGAGATCATCATCGCAACAAATTGTGTGTGCCCGCCTGCATTCCTGGAACTGCGGCTGCATGGGCCACTGCCAGCCCATGGAAACTCCCACATCTTCCATGTTCTGCTCTGGGAAATAACCTTGACTGTGACACTTATGTCTATACTATCACCACAAACACTCAAACTACAAACTGGGAAATCCACTGGATTGGCCCTCACCCCATAACCTAGAGATGTTTACACATCAATGTCTAAACTCGTCCCAACTGGCCACCTGTAGGGATCAAAAACCAGGTTTATGTTCAGCTCTGACCATTAATCTTCGCTTTCCTTTCTGTTTCCATAGAAAGGTCCCTCATTATATGCCTGATCACTGTAATCGTCCAGCAAATATCCTCTACTACCAAGTCCCAACAGTTGGTTCAACAAAAGGTGATCAAATGGAAAACAAGCTTGTATTATTCAGCAGACAGAATACCTCTTCTTTCCTTCAACAAGAGGGGCACCTGCCAAAGACTCTCTCCTTGACCATACTCTATCGAGGCTCCTCTGAGCCTTCAGAATTCTCAATTAGGTCTCAACCTTGGCCTATAAAGACTTGAACAAATACTAGTGTCTAATAGCTCAAGGCTGCATCCTTAGGATGACTTTAGCCACCTTAAGGTGCGTGACAGAGAAAACTCAAGGGTTCCAAAAGAAATGACTGTTTCAGCCAATACCTGAAGATAGGGCTTCATCTCCCAGCCTCTGTAGAAGCAGGGAAGCCTAACTTCCATAAGCATCACTTAGCATATCCGGATGGGTGTCACATGCACAAACCACCTCTTCCCACTTTTGTAATTTCTCACTTCCGTGACTCACTCAAGTCCTGTCATTCCCATCCCTCCACACACTCACTCTCCTTTTAAAAGTGCCCCTGAACAAACCCGAATGGCACTCAGCTCTTGACCGTAAGTCAGGTCCAATCTGGGGTGACTTTCTCTTTCTCAACATTCTCACATGGGTATGAGGCCACACCATCCAGACCCAATCTGGTCACTTTCCTTTCTGGTGTGGCAGCCATTCCCCTGAAAGGAAGAGCCTGGCAGTACCCCAAGTTTTCTCCTGGAAAACTTTCCCTTTCCAGGGGAAAACTTGTTGGAAAGATCACTGAGCCCCTCCGGGCCTGGATGCCCACAATTCTCCCACTCCCAAGCGTCTGATCCCTGCTCAAAGACCAAGTGTGACCCTCCCTTAGCGAGTCAGGCCCTGACCCTGAAAGCCCATCAAGTCAAAGCCCTCCCCAGGAGACAGCCCCACCTTAGGGTATGGCTCCCCACAGGAGGCTGGATCCCCTATCCTTGTCCAGAACCCTATCCCCAAGTCGGATCTTCCCACTCCAACACAGATCTCCCACTTCCTCAACCCAGTCTGGTATCCCAGCCCCTTGTTTTCTGTCCAGAGACTCCCACCCAAGGTCGGATCCTTTCACACGGGTTCTAATTTCCCACCCCGTATCCGCAGCTCCTCGCCCTAGGACAGATCCCCAGATCCCCCACCCCGGATCAGATCCGCCCCAGGTCGGGAGACCCCCCCCCGCACCCCGGATCAGATCCACCCCAGGTCGGGAGACCCCCACCCCGGATCAGATCCACCCCAGGTCCGCAGACTCCCACCCCGATCAGAAGCACCCCAGGTCCGGAGACCGCCCCCCCCCCCCCCCCGCCCAACCAACCCCACTTCGGAGACCCACCCACCCCGGATCAGATCCACCCCAGGCCCGGAGACCCCCCACCCCGGGCCGGTTCCCCGCGACCCGCCTGCGCTCTCACCTCGCACTCGGCGGCGGCGTCCTTGGTCTGGAGGACCCGCCCAGGGCCAGCGCAGGCAGCGCGGCGGACAGCCCCGGGCTCAGGAGAGGCCCCGCGCAGCGAGGGTTGCGATGGCGGCTGCGCTGCGGGGACCCGGCGGGCGCTTCCGGTGGCGGACGTGGGCGGCGGCGGCGGGCGGGGTGCGGGGCGCGGCGCGGAGCGCAGCAGGTAGGGCGGGGCGGGGAGGGGGGCTCTCTGTGCGGGGCGGGGGGTCCCCGCCAGGGGTTGTCCACGTGGGGGTGTCCCCGCGGGCAGCACTTGGCTGGGACCGCTGTTTGCCGGCTTCCACCCACCCCAGCCCCCTTTCCAGATGCGGAAAGAGCTGCGGGACCCCGCCGGAGGTTCTGCGGGGGCGGCGGGGAGGGGGATGATCTGTGCTCGCTGCCCCAGCCCCCAGCCCAATATTGACTATAGTCCTGATGATGGGGGTGGTGGCTCACCTCCTGAGGTTACCAGACGCCACCACCTGCAGACCCCACTAGTCAGACCTGGCCACCTCCTCCCCGCCACCCCAGTGGGCACACACAGCAGGTGCTCAGCACGTGCACTGCACGGACTCTCTGAGGGGACACTTACAAACTGATGGGCAGTGAGCACTGCCTGTTTGTAGGGCTTCGCAGGTGCCCCGAGGCAGGGGGACAGTACCCGGCTTGTCCTCCTGGAGCCACCAAGGATCACCAACCAAACCAGGCACAGGGGGTGGTGCCAGGCTCCGGAACAGGGACTGGGTGCTGGGTCATATGCCCAACCCTGCAGGACGGGCTCCCCAGAGCTAGTCACAGTGCCACCACATTTGCCATGGTGACATGGCCAGCCCCACACGTGATGACGTGCTCCCCACCACATGCCTGCTCGGTGACCGACCCCTACCCCTTGCCCCTGGATGACTCCCCATGGGGCGGGAGTGTTGAGGGGCCTGAGCAAGGGAAGAACGAGGCCTCCTTCATGGAGATGGTGGCTGTGGGGAGTGGCAGGGCACTTGGCCAGCAGTGGAATGAAGCTGACAGCGGATGTGGAAGGGCAAAGCTGTGTGCCGCTGTGGCCTTGGGGAGCCTCGGGCCTGCAGAGTCCTGGGAAATGGGGAGATAGGGTTGCCCTTAGGGCAGCTTTGCTGACTCCTGGGACCTTGGCCAAGGCACCCAGTCTTTGAAAGCATCCTTGCTGCGTGAGTCAGGTGGGACGTTTGTGAGGGTAAATGCAGCGGTGCGGTGGGGCCCTCACCCCTTCTGATGCAAGTAAAAGATGCTGCTGCTGCCATTACAAGTCCAGGGCCCTTCAGGCCCCTGTAACCTTGGCCTTGCAGCAGAGCAGGATGGCTTTGGGGTGGAGCTTTTTGTATCCAGCGGGGCAGCACCAAAGATTCTGCCCCCATGGTCCTTGGGCAGCAAGGGGAAGGAAGCCCCAAGCTTCCTTAGCTAGAGCTTTCTTAGCTGCAGCGGTGAGGGCCTGACAGGGCCAGAGCACAGCGCCAACACCCAACAAAGATGTGCAGGGCTGATTCTGAGCCTCCTCTTCCATCTGAGCCCCGCTTTCCAACTGAGAGCAGGAAGGCACCTGTGCCATCCCAGGTTTGGGGGTGGCACATGCCACTCCTGAACAGGAACCGGAATGACACTACCTGTGGTGTCACCTGTCCCCTAACACCTGCTAACCAGGAAAGAATGCACGGTGGGGAGGACAGTACAAGAGGACTCCCAGGGTGGCTCCCTGAGGTGGCCAGTGTGCCTGTGAGCACACAGCAAAGCCTCCGCTTGTGCTCCCGGAGTGGGGCACCATTCAGTCAGCCTTGCCGCACTTGCTGGGTGCCAGGCCCCCGGTTCAGAGGGGAGCAGACAATTAAAGGACAATGGGTTCAGAGCAAAGAGAAGACAGACCTTTCCAGGACTGAGCTCTGAACGTGTGGTGGGGAAGGGGAGGCTGGAAGACTGCCCAGGGCACTGGAGTGGTGTGTCCCCAGGTAGCCCGTGTAGAGCAGCACCCACCTCATCCGCCTTACCGGTCCTTGAGGTAGGTTCCTCTTCCAAGTGTTTATCCGACTGAGAGGGCTCCTGGGTATGCACGGCAGGCGGGGAGGGCAAACCCACAGAGATAAGCTCGCACTCCATGTGGCCAGTTGCTCGCCCTGCCCTCTGCCTGATAGCAGGCAGAGGGGACACAGTGTGGAGCTGGGGACAGTCGGAGCTAGCCGGGACCCTGTTCTGTCGGCAGGAAGGACCAGCATCAGCATCTGCAATGGAAGGTAGAGGCATTGTCCTGGGCAAAAGTTTCACGTCCCCTTCCCCCACCACGGAGCAGCGGAAGGGAGAGATGTGCGCGCTCCTCAGGGTCCAGCAGCTGCTTCTCTCCCACCGGCAGTCTGTCTCCGGTTCTTTGGGGTCATATCAAAGCCACCAGAATAACTGACAAAGTTTAGGCCTCTTCAGAGCCCCTGGGTTGAATTTGGAATTGAGCCCCCTTTGGACTGGCTGTTTGAACGGAGCCTTGGCTCCGTTCGGTCCCATGTTTGCCTGGGCACACATCTCAGGTGGCCTTGGCTGGGGTGGGTACAAAGCTGGGGGTGGGCCTGGCTTTGGGGTGGATATGGTGAAGCCTCTCCACAGGGCAGGCTAGCAGCAGGCCACCAGGTGGGCATCTGGACACAGCTCCCGGGGGCGGCTCCCCTAGCTTCATCAGCCGCAGGCCAGGGCCGCCTCTAGGCTGGAGCTCCTGTGTCCTTGCAGGAGCTCAGTTTCTGGGCCCCAGTCTGTGAGCACAGGGACCTACAAAGCCGAGGTCCCTGAGGGGCACAGGACCTCAGGAGTATTCTCTACAGCCTTGCCCACCAGGACGGTCAAGGTGGCCACAAAGGCAGATACAGTCTTTTCACATCTCAGGCTCCAGGGTGGTGTGGGGGCAGCCGCCCTGGCCTTGGGTGGCAGAGCCGGATTGGATCACAGGACCGGCTGCTTTGCCCAGGAGCTGCGGTCAGCTCTAGACACAACGCAGCAGTCTGCACCCTCCTCTCCCTCCCCACATACTGATGATTTTCTATTATTTCTTCCTTTTGCTACAGGGAGTGGGCCGGTGCGTGGTGCTGGGTATCTCAGGCTTGGCCCCTGGCTCAGAGCTCGGACCGCCTGGTCACACCTAAGGACACACCTGCTCCTCACCTACCCCCCCCCCACTCCCCCTTTCAGGCTGTCTCTTGCCTGCCTTCCCTGCCGGCAGTTTGCAGAAGAGAGACAGATAACGTCTTCTGCAGGGCAGGAGGGATGTGAGCGACCCTCTGGGCTGGGTGTGGGAGTGCGTTGCTTCCGAGGTGACACCATGGTGAGCCTGAAAGGCATTTCAGAGTCCCTTCTGTCCCAGGGCCCGCAGCGCACCAGGCATTCTGAGAGGCCAGGGTGTGCTGCCTGATGCAGGGACTGCTTTTTATTTTTCCTCACTTAGAACAAAAGGTGACTGTTGTAACCGAAAGACAGACTCAAGAGAAGTGTTTTAAGCCCATGTCTTGGCTTAGAATGTTCAGTGAAGTTTAAGTTCAGAGCAGTCCTGCCAGTTAAATTACATTCTTTTTGACCTGATTGTTGCTGCCAAGGTGATCATGCACCCTGGGCCACCCTCACCTGCCATTGCTTACTTTCAGGGTTTGCGTGATGATGGATACTGTGGTTGCCTTCTACCCTGATGTGTGGTGTGCTGTCACCCCGGACCATCACGGGCTGGGGGCTGTGCTCCAATAACATAGATCCCATACCACATTTGACTGGGCAGAACTGCTTGCCCTTTAGAAATCATGTGGCATCTTGCTGGATCCGGGCCCCAGACTTGTCCTGGCCCTTCCTCTCACTTCTCACCCCTTTCCCCAGCAGGGCGGCAGGACTATGATCTCCTGGTGATTGGCGGGGGATCTGGCGGCCTGGCCTGTGCCAAGGAAGGTATGTGTCCTGTGCCCTGCGTCCTGCCAGTGTGGTTGGGCCTCCAAGTTTTCAGCCCCCCCCCCCCAACCCCCCCGAGAGGGCTGCATTGTTCTTGAAGCTGGGTGGAGAAGGCTCCCTGTGTGGCTATGCAGAGGGCATTATCTCTGTAGCTGGCCTGCCGGCCTTTGGGGTCCTACATCCAGAGTCACCCCAGGACCCTTGTCAGTGTGCCCTACTCCCTGCCACTCCCCAGTTGTCTGTGCAGCACCCAGTAGCCAGGATGGTATCCCGGGTCTTAGCCTGTTCTCCTGGGCTCCAGCACTGGGCCACATGGGATCTGCCCCCACCCATCTGACATGTCTCCCACCACCCACACCTTGCCCTCTTGTGCCGCTCCAGCCCCTCGCCGCCTTGGTGTTTTGCAGATTCTTCCTGAAGGTCTTTCTGGCCTTGCTTCTTGCCCTGGCTTTCTGCCCGGCCTGGTCTTCTGTTTCCCTGCCTGATTAGCTGGAGGGTTCACTCACCTTCCTTCAGTCTTTGCTGCTGAGATGGCCCTACTTAGAATGACAGCCTCACCATCTGGTCCCTGTCCCCAGCTCCACTGTCCTCATTCTTAGCCCTGGCATGTCCCGCAGAGATCACGGTTTGTTCTGCTGTCTGTGTCTTTCTCTCCTCAGCCTGACACCCAGAACAGCCGGGGGCACCCTAGGGTGCTCAGTAAAGATGTGTGGAATGAAAGGGCTGGCCCCAGAGGCATCCAGAGACCTAATGTTGCAGGTTGCCACTAATCTGGGTGGGAACAGACGCAGCATTTCCCTGGGGGCTCTACACTGTGTTGGAGGAACGCCTGGCGGCCTGCTTGCCTCTCTCAATGATAAGGAGGCAGATGTGGATGGGGGGGGGGAAGCCAGGGGAGAAATGGGGCCCCAACAAAAGGGAGTTGAGCAGGCACCCTGGCCATGAAATTCTAGCTCTCTGCCATCAGATCCTGGGTTTTTGGAATCACAGTCAGTCAGCATAAAGGAAATTTGCTGTCCACTGCTCTTCCCCCTAGGGGCAGAGGACGGTGCCGGCCTGTGGTGGGGGGCAGGAACCTGGGAAGTCTCCCAGCGGATATAGGGGCCCACAGAGGGACACGAGTCCTCATTCCACTGGGCTACAGAGCCACCGCGAGAAACAGGGGACAGACAGCCAGTTGTCCCAGCGATGTCCCTTGGAGCAGAAGAAAGCCCTAGATGTTGTGTCTACTCCGGTATCCAGAGACACATCTCCGCTAACCCGCAATAGTTCTCAAGTCTGTCTTTGCTTTTGTAACAGCGACATTCTCCCTGTGGATGATGGCGCTCTTCTACAGCATTCTTGAGCTATAATTGATGTAAAACAAACCAGACATGTTTAAAGTGGACGACTTGCTACGGTTTGACATATGCACACACTTGCGAAACCAAGTACCCCAGTCAAGCTGGCGAACATATCCATTACCCCTGTATTCACTTGCTGGGGCCGCTCTGGAGGTTGGAAGTCCGAGGTGAAGGTGCCAGCAGGGTTGTTTCTTCTGAGTCCTCTGTCCTTGGCTTGTAGATGGCCATGATTTCTAGTGTCCTCACAGGGTCTTTCCTCTGTGTCTGTGCCCCGATCTCATCTTTTTATATGCACACCAGTCAGATTGGAGTAGGGCCCATCTGTATGGCCGCATTCTAATTTAATCACCTCCATAAAGACCCTGTCTTCAAATAAGGTCACATTCTGAGGTTCTGGGGCTTTGGGCTTCAACAAGAATTTGGAGGGGATGTGACTCAGCTCATAACAAACCCCAGAGTTTCCTCAAACCTTGGGAGCCCCTGCCTGCCGCATCCCCAGACAGCCAACGATCTGTTTTCTCTCACTGCAGATTAGTTTGCATTTTTAAAATTTTGTATAAATGGAACCATGTAATATGTATTCTTACTTCTCTGGTTTTTTTCACGCAGCCTAATTGTTTTGAGATTCATCTGTGATGCTGTGTGTGTCCAGAGTTCATTCCCTTCTATCACTTCAGTATTCTGTTGTATGCATACACCACACTTTGTCTGTTCACCTGCAGGTGGACGTTTGGGTTGTTTGCAGTTTGGGGCTACTGTGAACGGTGCTGCTGTGAACATTTGTGGTTATGTCTTTGTGTGGATGTATGTTTTCAATTCTCTTGGATAAATCCCTAAAAGTAGAACAGCTAGGTCATGTAGTATCTCTCTTCTTTCAGTATTTTTTTCATTTATTTCCACAATCTTTTGTAGTTTTCAACATACAGCTTTTGTCAGATTTGTCTCTAAGTGTTTCATATGTTTTTTTAATAGCTTTTTTTAAAGATTTTATTTATTTATTTGACAGAGAGAGAGGCAGTGAGAGAGGGAACACAAGCAGGGGGAGTGGGAGAGGGAGAAGCAGACTTCCCGCTGAGCAGGGAGCCTGATGCGGGACTCGATCCCAGGACTCTGGGATCATGACCTAAGCCGATCATGACCTGAGCTGAAGGCAGATGCTTACTGACTGAGCCACCCAGGCGCCCCTGTTTTTTTTGTTTTTAAGATTTTATTCTTTTAAGTGATCTCTGCCCCCAGTGTGGTACTTGAACCCACAACCCCGAGATCAAGACTCTCACGCTCCCTCATTGGAGCCAGCCAGGTGCCCCAGCTTTACCCATTTTGAAATTGGGTTGTGTTTTTATTACTGAGTTACATGAGTTCACGTACATATGTTCCATACTCTTACGTAAATATAGTCTGGATACTAGACCCTTATCAGATACGTGATTTGCAAATACTTTCTTCCATTCCGTGGATTATCTTTTTACTTTCTTGATTGTGTTCTTTGCAGCACAAACGATTTTGATTTTGATAGAAGTCCAGTTTACCTGGTGTGTCTTTTGTTGCTATTCTTTTGGTGTCCGAGAAACAGTTGTCTAATGCAAGCTCACAAAGATGTATGCCTGTGTCTTCTCCGAAGACTTTTCCAGTTTCAGCCCTGACACTCAAGCCTCTGGTCCATTTCAAGTTCACTTAACAAATATGGTGCTAGGTAGTTGCCTTGGGGTTTGCAGAAGACATCTTGAACTTGTCATAGTCTGCCTGCAAGTGATAAGGTCCAATTCACACATAGTACCAAAACCATGTGGCCACACGTTTTACTTTGACGTGTTATAAGGCCCATAACACATTGTTATATTTTGTCTAAACAGTTACCTTCCAAAAAGATTAAACTAATGAGAAAAAAATCTTACAGATCTGCCTGTGTAATCACCATTTCTGGTGTTCTTTCCTTTGTATAGATCTGAGTTTGCATCTGGTATCATTTTTCTTCTGCCTGAAGGATATCCGTGAACATTTCTTGTAGTACGGCTCTAAGAGTAATGAATTCTTTCCGCTTTTGTATGTCTGAAGACATCTTTATCTTGCCTTTATTTTTTTAAAGTTATTTTCTCTGGGGGGGCGCCTGGATGGCTCAGTCGGTTAAGCATCCAACTCTTGATTTCAGCTCAGGTCATGATCTCAGGGTCGTGGGATCGCACCCCACATCGGGCTCCCTGCTCAGTGGGAAGCCTGCTTCTCCCTCTCCCACTCTGCACTCAGCAGGGAGTCTGCTTGGGATTCTCTCTCTCTCCCTCTCCCCCTCCCCCTGCTCAAGCACACACTTTCTCTCTCTCTCTTTCTCAAATAAGTAAATAAAATCTTAAAAATATATAATTTTCTCTAGGTGGAGAATTCAAGGTAGTTTTTCTTTTTTTCTTTCAGTACTTTAGAGATGTTGATGTTCTGGCTTCTCGCTGCATTGTTTCCGATGTCATGTGCTGCTCTTTTATCTCTGTTCCTTTGTTGTATGTCTTTTTTCTCTGGTGGTTTTCAGGATTTTCTCTTTTCATTGGTTTTGAGCAATTTAAAGAGGGTGCACCTTGGTGTAGTTCTTAATTATTTTTCTGCTAGAGTTCACTGAGTTTCCTGGGTCTGTGGATTTATCGTTCTCATCAAGCTGTGAGAATTTTCAACCGTTATTTCTTCAGGGAATTTTCCTGTCCTTCCTCTTCTCCTTCACTTTTGGAGACTTTAATCACACATGTATTAGGCTTCTCAAAGTCTCCCTTCAGCTCATGGGCGTTGTCTTCATTTTGGAGAGTTTCTATTCCTATGTTTCCAAATTCACTAATAGAAGATTCTGCAAAGTCTAATCTACCATTAATCCCACACAATATATTTTTCATCTCTTGTATTGTAATTTCATCTCTACAAATTGGACTTGGGTCCTTTCTTGTATCTTCCATGTTGCTCCTTAACTTTTTGAACATGTGGAATACGGTTACAATACTCGTTTTACTTCTTTTCTGCTAATTCTGTGTCAGTTCTTGGTCAGTTTCCATTGACTGATTATTTCTCTCTCGTGGCTTATCTTTTCCCACTCCTTTGCATGCCTGGTCATTTTTGATTGAATTCCAGACACTTTGAACTTTCCCTTGCTGGCTCCTGGATATTTTTAGATACCTGGATACATTTTTGAGTATGTTCTGGGATGCAGAGAAGAGAGTCTGAGTCTTTTGCATCTTCCATTTTAAGATTTGTTCAGTGGGTCTGGAGCTGTGCCCAGGCACTCTCAGTGACTGGGGTCTGACCTTAATACTTACCCAGCTCCCCAGGAATTAGATGTTTTCTCCAGTCTGACTTCTGGGAACAGGTACTATTCCCAGCCCTGCGTGAGCACTGTCTCCTCTATTAGTCTTTCTGGATGGTTCTTTCCTGGCCTCAGGTGGTTTCCTCACACACATGCACCGATCAGCTGTCTGGGGTTCTGTGCAGCTATCTCCTCCCTGGTCCTCTGTCCCGGGAGCTCTGGCTGCCTCAGTCTCTCCCCAGAATTCCAGCCGTCTCCTCAGCCAGGGAGTCCGGTGAACTCAGCCTGGGCCCCCTCCCCATGCTGCATCACCTTATTTGTTTCCTATCTTCCAAGAATCACTCTCCTTGGTCTTCTGATGTTCAGTTTCTTGAAAGCACCATTTTATGTCTTTCCCCTGGATTTTTGGTTGTCTCGGATGCAAGGATAAATCCAGTACCTGTCGCCCCATCGTGGTCAGCTGTGGGAGACCGACGCTGGCATGTTTGAAGAGTCCCTTTGGCTGGAGTTTTTAAAACAAGCCCTGCAATCCCATTATTGGTCAGTTGAGCAAAATGGATTTTTACGTGAAGGCTTCTAAAACTTTGTTCTGATCTTGGTCAGTAGCCATGAATCAAGTGTGTTCTGTAGTATGTCAGACACTCACGGGTCACGATGTTTAAGTCGGGCATGCCCTCGGGCAGTCAAGTCTAGAGCCCAGGTTGGCAGTGCAGCTCCCCAGGCAAGCCAAGGGGAAGCCCCGCGATTAGCCCTGGCTAATTGGTGACAGGGTCAGCACCTGGGACTCGTGGCCCTGGGAGGAACCCACTGACAGCCAGTGGGGGAGGCCAGGAGACTCCAGGCAGGAGGTGGCAGTTTGGAGCCCAGGTCTCCCTCCCCCTGTGGGGGCTGGCTGACCCTGGACCTGCCATTTGACTTCGGAGCTTCCAGTTCCTTACCCTGAGAATGAGGCTGCAAATGCCCACAAGAGTAGACCTTGGGTGGAAGCTCCCCACCATGTCCAGTGGGGAACAGAGGAGGTGAGCGAGTCCACTGGGAGGGCTTGGGGAGAGAGCCAGGGGAAGCTCCAAGGCTGGGGCCTCTTTTGGGGAGTGGGTGCTCCTGTGACACGTGCTAGTATGTGCCAGGTGGGCACTAGGCTCATGCTGAATGTCTGGGCTGGAACCGGGTGCGGCAGGAGGCAGGGGTGAGGGGTGCTGGGCCCAGGGTGGCTGTAGTGGGCTTGTGAAGGAGGGTGGGCGTCCCACCAGGTCCTGGCACTGTGGTGGGTGGGGTGAAGGCTGCAGTCAAGAAGAGGCCCGAGGGTGCCCACCTGTGGGCAGCACAACTGTGTGGTGGCAGACAGGTGGGGAGACTGGGGGCAGAGCTGGTGGGCACCTCCTTCCTTGCCTTCGTCTGGTCCTCAGCCTCAGCCCCTAAGCAGCTCCCCACCTGCCCACTCCTCTTGTCGTTCCAGCTGCTCAGCTGGGAAAGAAGGTGGCTGTGGTAGACTACGTGGAGCCTTCCCCCCAAGGTAGGTAGCCCCGGATGGGAGCCATCTGTCTTGGGGGAGCAGGAGGATGGGGGCCTGGTTCACATATAGGGGCAGCGGCTGAACCTAGAACCATTTACCACTGTTGGCCAGGCTCTCTGGCGAGTGTCCTCCTTGGCAAGTCAGCTGCCATTAGTTTAAAGTTCTTCATTCTTATTTAAAGACAACACAGACTACAACTATAGAGAGTAAATTCCCAGGGCAGGGTTCACCTGGAGCATACAAACAACAACTTAAAGGACTCTTTTTTTTTTTTTTAAAGATTTTATTTATTTATTTGAGAGATAGAGTTAGTGAGCAAGAGAGAAGCTGGCTCCCTTGCTGAGCAGGGAGCCTGATGCAGGGCTTGATCCCAAGACCCTGGGATCATGACCTGAGCCAAAGGCAGACCCTAACCTACTGAGCCACCCAGGTGCCCCAACTTAAAGGACTCTTAGACAACTGTAGAGGACCAGGAGGGCCTTCCAGTCCCCTGAATATAAATCTAAACATGCTCTTCCCAACATGTCAGGTACCAGGTGGGGCCTCGGCGGCACGTGTGTGAATGTTGGCTGCATCCCCAAGAAGCTGATGCATCAGGCAGCGCTGCTGGGGGGCATGATCCAAGATGCCCCCCACTACGGCTGGGCCATCCAGCCGGTCCTGCATGACTGGTGAGGAGCCCACCCACTCCCAGTGCCTCTGTGCTCCTCACGGGTGGGGGGAGGCTTACTGCCCCATTAACCCTCACAGGAGCGAGCTACCAGACAGGGGCGCTCATCCAGGGGCCACCCCCTCCCCAACATTCGGCAAAGTCTGGAGACATTTTTGGTTATCACCACTGGTTGGGGTGGGGGGCTGCTGCACCCGCAGAAAGGACAGTCTGGCCCCAGAGGCCACTAGTGGGAGGTGAGAAACCGATTTGGCTTCCACAGGTGGCCCCTGGTCTGCTCTGAGCCGCACACGGGCCCCTCCGTGGTTCTCAGATGACCTAGACTCAGGGCCACTGCTGTGTCCTGATGGCTGTGGCCCGCAGAGACAGTGGCCGGGGGCATAGGTGTCACATTTTTCCACCTTTAGAATCACCTTGTTTCTTGGGATTTCTGCCAACTCGCTATTTGCATCTACTCATCGGTTGTGGGACTCTGCAGTTCATGCTTCTGTGGTGGTTTCTGACATGTCTTGGTGTGTGTTAATAGGAGGACGATGGCAGAGGCCGTGCAGAACCACGTGAAGTCCCTGAACTGGGGGCACCGGGTCCAGCTGCAGGATAGGTACTGAGGCCTCGTGCGGCCCTCCCCCCTTCTCTGGGGACATTTCCTCCCTTGGCAGGCACTTTCTCACTAGAGGCTTGGCAGTGATAAGACCAGAAGTCCCTGCCCGTGGGGTGGGGTGCACACATGCAGAAGGAAGGCCGCCCTGCAAGCTCGCACCTGCAGAGCCTGGAGTAGCAGGGGCTGAGGGGCATGTTGGCAGGACAGCCGGGGCCTGGGTCTGCACCAGGGAGGAGGCATGCTCGGGGCTGGCGCTGGGGAGTCCAAGGGCCAGAGCATGGAGGCACAGAGAGGGCCATCCCAGTGCCCAGTGCCTTCCTCGAGGCAGGTGACCTTTCTCCTGTCAGGGTCAACCACCGTGATGTGGTCAGAGCCGAGTGAGCTCCATGTTGCTGTTGTAAAGAGGATGCCCGGGCACCACCCTGTGAAGCCCACACCTCACCTCTCATCTCCAGGCTCCCACACCCTGAACCCCACACCTCACCACCCACCTCCAGGCTCCCTGGGCATGTATGAAGGCACCTGGTGTTGTCTGCTGAAGCAAATGTACAACATAATCATTCCAGCCTGAAGCTGCCAGGTCCCATCAGCCCTTTGGGGTTCCCCAACCTGGTTACCAACTCAAAGCATCCTCCCTGAGGAGCTGCTACCAGAAGGAGAGGTGCTCAAAACTGCACTCGACTCTGGCGAGGCTTCGCTTCCTGGCCCTATAGCTCCACCCTTTGCCCATGGAGGTAATGGAGGGCACAGTGTGCCCTCAGAGGTCTGGTGGCTCTCATCTGAGCCCTATTTGCTTGTCTCCGAGGAGTCTTCCTGGGGCTGTACAGTACACAAGTGTTTTGTGCCCATGAAACCCAGGATAGCTGAGCCAGGGAAGCTGGCCCACATGCCCATCCCGGGTGTCCCCAGGGGTGCCCCCCTCAGGGAGGTAAGCTGCGTCCTGTCACTTTTCCTCTCTGTGGGGCTCAGTCTTCCCTGGGGCAGTTTGCTGGAAGCACAGGGCTCTGCCCTCCTTCCTGCTAGCCCCAGGCAGCTCCCAGGCAAGTGCCAAACAGGCCCGAATGATCCCACCTTCTGGAGGTGCCCCCAGAAGGAAGCCAGTGCAGAACTTGTGTCTGTGTCATCTGGCTGTTACTGGGCTGTGGGGGTGAGTGAGGACTCGGTTCTTACAGCTCAGGCGGCACATGGAGGTGCAGGCCTCGCTTGTGGGGAGGATGTCAAATCAAGGAGGTGGTGAAGCCTTACCAAAAGCGCCAAGAACCCGCCACTACAGAGTGGCCTTCATTATCAGAAGGTGTGGATCATTTGTGCACACCCTGCACCTGACCACCCTTTTGTCTTCATCATACCTGTTTTCCAGCCTTATGGTCCCCTAAAGGCAGGGGGTGATGCCTATCTGGTGGGCACCCTCCCTTGTCAGCAGGAAGTTGGTCATTTGGGTGGCGGGGGTAACTGGGTGCAGGCGGGGGTGGGGGGCGTCTCTGCTTCCTGCTGGAATGTGCCCAGGTGACAAGGAGGGACCCTGGGGAGACCCAGCCACTTCTGTCATCACACACCGGGGCTGTACTTGGGCTCTCGGGGCCATCCCGAGCTGGCTTCTGTCCTGGCAGCTTCAGGGAGCCCGGCCCTCCTCCCCCTGCACACCTCCCAGTGCCCCTCTCCACTCGCCCCTTGCTCCGCCTGGGTTGGGGGCAGGGGGCTGTGGGCCCAAGCTTTCCTTTTAGCCATCCGCTCCCTCTTTAATCCCATAGGTGATGTCTAATTTGCAGTGGAAATATTTGACAATCTTAATTGTTTTTTTGCAGAAAAGTCAAGTACTTTAACATCAAGGCCGGCTTTGTCAATGAGCACACGGTTTGCGGTGTCGCTAAAGATGGGAAAGAGGTGAGTGCCCAGCTCTCCCAAGTGGCTCCTCTCGCATGGTCCTGACCCTTCCAGTGACTCCAGACTTGTTCGACCTCAGTGCTCTTCTCAGTAATAAGCGCTGCTGGAATTGACCGGCGATCCCTCTGAGGCTGGTTGTGATTCTCTGCGAGTGATGAAACGCCATCACTGAGATGCACGTGGCGCCAGGCTGTCCGCTGCGCCGGGCAACAGGGCAGGTGCTCCTACCCCCGCAGAGTTTTACGGGATTGAGGGAGATGAGACACCTGCAGGGCGCTCTGTAAACCGTGGGATGCTTGGAGTTAGAATGTCTCCCTGCCCTCTTCTGCTGGGCCCCCTCCTGGCTCGAGGAGCCGTGACAGGCTCCCAGCTCCAGGGGGCCTCTGAGCTCCTGGCTGGAGGGTCCACACTGCAGGGCAGGAGCTGTGATTAGAAAGCGTGGGTCTCTCCTGGGAACCTGTGCTGACCTGCCTGACCACAGCTTCCTTGGTTTATTCTCAGACTCTGCTTTCAGCTGAGCACATCGTCATAGCTACTGGAGGGCGGCCGAGGTACCCCACTCACGTGAGTATCCCCACCACACAGCCTTCCCTCGCACCCCAGGTACGTTCACGGTCTCCCAGCTTACACTTCCCACACCAGTGGCACCCCCACTTTTTCTTTTCCTAAAAAAAAAGAAGTTTTTTCTATATTGACTCTGATCACTTTCTAATGCTCTCTCAACTGCGTTCTATGGAAGCAGGCCGACAGGGACCCCCACATCTCCTCACTCTTCACGTGGCTCTAGGACACCCCTGCCCCTGGTCTCCTTTATCTCTCTTTGCTGATTCTTCCTTTTTTCCTCAGCCTCAAGGTGTTGGAACATCCAGGACTTAAGTCTCTTCTTCCTGCCCCCACCCCAAATCATGACATAAGATTCTCATACCATAAAATGCACCCCTTTAAAGGGTATGATTCGGGGGAGGTTTAGTTTATTCAGAGTTGTGCAACCGTCAGTCTCCACTACCTAACTCCAGAACATTTTCATGCCCCAAATGAAATCCTGTCCCGTGAGTGGTCACTCCGTTCCTGGCTCCCCAGCTCCTGGTGACCACTAGCCTGTTTTCCGTCTCTGTGGATTTGCCCATTCTGGGCACTTCACATAAATGAAATCAGACAACATGTGGCCTTTGTGCCCGGCTTCCTGCACTCAGCAGAAGGTTGTCAAGGTTCATCCACATGGTAGCCTGTGTCAGAGCTTCATTCCTTTTTATGCCTGAATAATGAACCATTGTGTGGCTGGACCATATTTTGTTTGCCCACTTGTCCGTTGATGGGCATCTGAGTTGTTTGCACTTTGAGCTGTTGTGAATAATGCTGCTGTGAACATCAAAAACTTGTGCACAAGTTTTTCCATGGACTTAAGTTTTCACTTCTCTTGGCTCTATACCTAGGAATGGAGTTGACGGGTCATAGGGTAACTCAGTTTTTAACCTTTTGAAGAGCCAGCAGCCTGTTTTCCAAAGCGGCTGCACCATTTTGTGTACCTCACCCCCTCCAATGACGTGTCAAGGTCATACTTCCCTGGTTCTTCACATTTCATAATTTTTTTTGGTTGTTGAGAAATGAACATTTCAAATAAAGTAATACGTTAACTCTGGAAATCAGAATCTGTCTCCACCGTAGGATTTTGTTCATTGCTATTGTATGTCGTGTGGTTTTCTGAAGCAATTTTGTAAAGTCTGTATTCTTTCTCAGGGGTGGCCACTGAGGTCTCTGCTCAGTTTGCTTAGTGGTCAGCTAGTAACTAGACAGAGATTTCCTGAAACACCTGGAGAAACGGCCCAGTCTTTGCTGACGGATTCTGTAGGCATTTGGGGGCATGCTTTGGGCAGTCAGCCAGGCGCCGGAAACTTTGCCTTAGCCCTCACTTCCTACCTGTGCCGGGCCTCGAGGTCAGCCAGAGGGGAGAGCTCAGGCTGTCTGGGGCCTTTCCCTGGGTGTGTGTGTGTGCCGCCCAGGGCCTACACCTGGCCTTCTAGGTCCCCGGGAATATGCAGGAGCTTTTCAAAGCCCCTGTGGACAGCTCACTCCTTGGCTTTCCTTTTATTTATTTATTTTTTTAAAGATTTTATTTATTTATGTGTCAGAGAGAGAGCACAAGCAGGGGAGGTGGCAGGCAGAGGGAGTGGGAGAGGGAGAAGCAGGCTTCCTACTGAGCAAGGAGCCCCATGCAGGACTTGATCCCAGGACCCCAAGATCATGACCCAAGCCAAAGGCAGACGCTTAACCAGCTGAGCCACCCAGCCATCCCTGGCTTTTCCTTTTAAGTTTTTGGTGGTGTGTTGTTTGCTTCAGCTGTTATCCATTGGTTCGGGCAGCCGTGGCATCAGTCACTGGGCAGATCCTCCTCTGAGAGAGGCTTCTGGCCCTGGGCCAGGTCAAGTGAGGTTGAAGACAAGCCTTTTGAGTGGGGTCTTCTGGGGAAACCCCAGCCAGGTCAATCGACAACTGTTTCTTGGGAGGGAGCTTTGCAAGGGCTCCGACTCGGCTCGGCTCTGCTCTCCCTGCTGTGTTTCTTAAGTCGCTCATCGTCGCTTAAGGTTGCCACTGTGCTGAGGGATAGGGCTAGAGTCTGTTACAACTTCACAAAACTCACTGTCCGTACCAAGTTTCAGCCATTTTTCTTGACTAAACGTTCCCTGTGTTGCTGCAAGCTTTTGATTAATTTCCAGAGTTCTCAAAAAGTTGAATCTGACTGTTTTTGCTAGTTGTCTGGCTGTTTTTATGGAAGGGTGAACATTGGGAGGTCCTCGCGCCACCGTTTTTTGCCAGCATCCCCTCCCCCATCTGCTGTGAGGGTGCTTCTCTGCCCTCATTCCCATGAGGCAGGTGGAGCTAAGGAAGGGGGCCGTACGGTCAAGGTAGTGGAGAGGGGGATGGGAGGCAGGAAGGGGCTTGGCCAAGGCCACATCCTCGTGGGTCTCCCAGGGGCCCTGGGAAGCAGATGGCACAAGCCCTGAGCCTCCACATGGGCTGCAGCGAAGTGCATGAGGCCCACAGACTCCCTGGGCCTGGAGGCCACTTCTGCCTCCTAGTTAGACCGACAGAGCACAGACGGAGCAGATGGAGGAAGAACAAGGGAGCAGTTCTGTTTCTCCCCAGATGCCCAAATCCCAAGCCTCCATCTTCGGTTCTGTGCTTTCTCTGGAAATGGGGAACAGAGGGGGCATGGGGAAAATGCATACCTCCAGTCCTCAGAGGAGCACCATGCCTCCCTCCGGCTGTCAGGCCCTCAAGAGCAGCCTCCGGAGGGGACAGGTGGCTTGTGCACAAAGGGGGCCCTTGGGTGGGTTACATGGCTCTGTAGGGTGGTGGGGTGCTGTTGTTCAAGGGAGGAAAGGAGGGCGACCATTAGTGACCCCTCACCCTTCAGCCAGGCCTACGTTGGTTCTGCATAAAGCCCCTGAAGGCCACAGTCAGCTCCCAGGAGCTGGGCGGTCATCTGGGACAGACCGACTTATGTGCCCACGCCAGGGTGCCCTGCAGAAGCGACAGGCCTGGCCCCAGCCTGCTGGACCTCGGCTAGGCGGCTGCCATGTGTCCCCCGGCCAGAGGGGGATAGAGCAGGAGTTATCTGGCCCATGGGGAGGCAGCCGTCCCACCGCCCACCCCCGCCACCCCCTCCCTGGGGGCCTGCCAAGACTCACTTGTGTTTTAGTTCCTTTGATTTCTAGACCTTTTGGTTTTCTTTACACAAACCCGAGAAATTCCTGGCTTTATTTTTATTGCCGATTAGAATCATAAACTGTTTGCAATCCGCTTCCTCTCCACCCGCACATCTTGCTCTTCTTACTCTCGTGGGCCACTGAGGGGACACGGGTCCTTGTCTCCCCCGCCTGCTCAGCGGCCCCTCCTCAGGCTCCGCTGGGGATGCCCAGGAGCGTCCAGCCTTCAGCCCCGTGCCCTTGGGTCCAGCCTGCCCCTCCACACCCTGCGTCACTGCTCCCCGCCTGTCCTCCCTCGGCCCAGCATCTGGATCAAGGGGAAGGCCCTGGAGAGCAGGGAGGAAAAAGCTGCGGGCCACGCGCCGGCTCCCCAACCACCTTGCACAGCCAGGGAGTGCTGGGTGTTTTGCCCAGGAAGGTAGATGGTGCACCAAGTCAGATATAGCCAGGTCACCTGTCCCTAGAGGCCACAACCTGAAGAACAGTGTGTGGAGCAAGGAAGCGCACCCATGGGTGGGCTGGGGGTGGTTCTGCTTGAGTTGTGTCTACAGAATGGTCATCCTCTTTGGGGGAAGTCTCTGGAGACAGGCCAAGTGATGCTCTTTTCACATTGATCCTTTTTTTTTCTGAATAGATTGAAGGTGCCTTGGAATATGGAATTACAAGTGACGACATCTTCTGGCTGAAGGAATCCCCTGGAAAAACGTAAGACCCGACGTGTGCCTTAATGGAGAGCCTCTTGTTCACCATTGCAAACATCAGAACCATTCAGAACCACATGTTGGTCCTCTCTCCCTAGTGCATTCTTTCCTGTCTACATGAAAGAAGGACAGAGAGCCCGGTGCTTGGGCCCCTTGGTGGGGCTGTTGACTGTCTTGGAAGTGATGACCCATGTATTACAAAATTCATCAGCCGCTATCTAGGGGCGGTGGTTTTCAAACAGGGTTCCCAGAGCCCCAGGGTTCCAGTGGGTTCTGTCAGGGACATCACGGAGGGAGGACATTCAAGGGGGAGAAAGTAAGGCCAAGTCCTCAGGGAAAGCCGTTGGCCTCTCCGCAGGCCTTGATTAAACATCCCCTTTCCTCTGGTTTGAACCTTGGGCTTCTCTGAAATGCAGCAAAGCCTCCGAAGTTTTCAGAAACTGTAACCCAGGAAATGAGACGTGCAGTGTGTGAGCAGTTTTACACTCCCTGAGCGGGTGTTCAGGCACCAAATGTATTTCTTGTACCCACAGAGCAGGCTGTTGGGGGGTTCCAGGTCTAGACAGGCCCTGCAAGTGGCGTCTGGGGGACGCAGGGACTGGAAAGGCCACCAGAGGGCAACAGAGGCTTGGTCGTCAGTGGGCTCTTAGCTGCCTTGGGACTTGCGTTTGAGAAAATAGAGGTGGAGAAGTGTGCCAGGGTGGGTGGGCGTGTGCGTGAACGGGCACCCCTGTGCTCTCCTTATCACTGTTTCCCACTTCCTGAGGCATCTCTGGTCGGGGTCGGGGCTTGATTCCCTTGAATGGATGTGGTGTAGTTGATCTTTCCACGACTCCCAAGCATCTCAGTAGGCTCTTTTTGTCGGCATTATGAAATGCTGCAGCGAAAACCTTTGGTGTGCATCTTACCTACTGTCAGAATGCTTCTCGTGTGTTCTACATACCTGTCAGGGGGGTTTCCTACAAGCCAAGAACGCCGGTACAGGGCTTTACACATGTTGCTAGCAGGTGCTCCCTCCTGGTGGGCTGCCCCGTGTTCCCGGCGCACCCCTGCCTGCCCCCCCTCCCCCTAACTGGGCCAGGCCATCGGCTTTTTCACGAGCCATAAAACAGGAAGGAGCCTCTCCTCCTGCTTCTGCGGGGGTGAACGCCAGTTGTTTCTGCCCAAGGTGTGTGTGGTCCCTCCAGTGACTGTGGTCAAGCTCACCCAGGCTTGGATCCCTCTGTCGCGTTCCTCTGGCTCTCCAGGCTGTGGTTTCTCCTTTTACTCGGTGATATTATTTCATACAGAAGTTTGTAATTTTCACACTGTGACATTGATCACTTTTTTCCTTTATGCTGAAATATCTGGGTTATCTATTCTTCTATCTTTAGCTAGCTAATGGGTTAAATGTGACCTGATTCTATTTGCACTTGCTATTACTAGTCATCATTTCGTGTATTTACTAGCCATTTAGAACTGAGTGTGTCTGTGAACGTGTGAGTGTGTGTTGTCAGCTTGGTCCGTGGCCCACTTTCTATCTGGTTTTTCTTTTTTCTTATCTGTTCCTTATCTTCCAGCTGGTTCGCGTTCTAGGGCTGTGATCCCAGGCCATTTCTATTGCACGTTTTCTTGGCTTGTCATGTCATTTCACTTGCGTGATGTACAAATGGTTTTTTTTCTTATTTTTTTTAACCTACCTTAGATCTCTTTTTACACTTAATAGCTTTTAGATTTATTGCATGTTCAGGAAGGCCTGCTCCACCCCCAAGATTGTTTTTGAAAAAGAGCCTCTGTATTTTCCTTTAGGGTTTCCACAAGTCAGATTTTCCTTTGCGTCCTCGGGGTGTTTGCTGTTCATCTTTGGTGTGGTGTGGTATGGTGTGGCGTGGTGTGGCATGGTGTCGTATGGTGTAGCATGGTGTGGTATGGTGTGGCGTGGTGTGGCATGGTGTGGTATGGT